TGCGAGAACTTCTTTGGTATGATTGTTCTCCAGTTTTGGATAGCCCACCTGGCGGGTCTATGGTGGAGCTAATGGCAACCTCCTCCAAGAGGACTATTGCCTCTACCTGCTGCACCTCTCAGAACTGCTGCAGCCAGAGCCCCTGTCTCGGTGGCAGGTCCCTGCACCTTTCACTGGGTCCTGGTGACCACAAGGTTTTGTTGGTGCCTGCCAAGCATCTCTGGCGGGTATGAGGTTTGATTTTAAATGTGATTGTACCCCTCCTATTGTAACAGGAGGGAAAGGGGCAGGGCACAGCTTTTGAAAGAATGACATATTTTGTGAAAGGGACACAAACTGATTAGAATCAAATGGGACCAAGATGACAGACAAGACTAGACCTTGATCCTGAGTCAGCAAGTGAAATGACACGCCCAGAGGTGCCATGACAGTTCCCAGGCACGGTTAAAAGACCAAGGAGTGGGCTGTGGCCTAAATCCAGGAAATCTCCGCCCGTTCCCCAAATCAGTTGGAACAGTCCTCCAACTCATTAGCATATGAAATTACCCAGGCTGTAAGAACTAACTATGCCACATTTCACGGCCACCAAGTTCACCCTCTGTGATGGCCCCCACTCTGGAGTGTGCTTCTATCTGAATAAATCCACTTCTTACCTATCACTTTGTCTCTCACTGAATTCTTTCAGCGATGAGACATCAAGAACCTGAGTTTCATTAATTAGGTCTGGAAACCAGGTACAGTGGGTTTTGGCTGGGTTCGAGTCCCATCCTTGTGGGTTCCAGTCCCAAGCTGAGGTAAACGGTTTCACTACCATTTTATTGGGGCTTCCCCTTTGCCCTTGGATATGGGGTATCTTTTTTTGGTGGGTTCCAACATCATCCTATTGATGGTTGTTCAGCAGCTAGTTGTGATTTTGGTGTTCTCACAGAAAATGAGCACATGTTCTTCTACTCCTCAGTCTTCTAACTGCACCAGCTTTCCTGGAGCACAAAGCCTCTCATTCCTATTTTCAACCTGAGCTGCCTTCAGGGTGTGTTGAAGGTCAATAGCTGCAGCAAGTCAAGATTCAATCCCTGCAGAGGCAGATGGCAAATGCCCTTGGCAAAGACCAATTTGTAGTTGACAAATGAAGGGATGGAATATTCACTGGGGAAGGAGGAGTTTGGGGGTCATCTTCCCAGATTTTCATCCCAGCTCCATTTTCCCAAGGGGGAGGAGGGGTTTTTGTGGTTATTTAGCCAAAATCAGAAGTGGCATGGCATTGGTGAGTGATAAGTGCTTTCCTGTAAGGTTAATCTTATAGAGCAAAAGGTTACATTTGAATGCAGGGAAGTCCACCTTTCCCCACCATTCTCAGACCCTTATCACCCAAAATATGTGATTTCCTGTCGCTCTGAAGTTTCCTGCCTGCATTTGTCTGCCTATGCACCACCACCACTCCCCCCACAACCCCCCACCCCTGCCAACACGCATAAGAGTCTTGGTTTCTTGCCGCTTGGCCCCTGCCCCCTTTTCTTTTCTCACATCTAGCTACCTGCCTGCTTGCTGTAACATTGGAATGATGGTGAGTGGACCACAGTGCTCCGAAAACCTCTAGGCTAAGAGGCTAGGTCATACAGTACCTTTATAAATTAAATTCTTAAGCAGGCATTGTGTTCTTAACAGTGTGCTGAGAAATATGCTGGGTACTAGGAATGAAAATGCACACTCTAGGAGTTGTCTGCATTGTTACTCTTCAGTCACTAAGTCATGGTTGACTCTGCGACCCCATGAACTTCAGGCTTCCCTGTCCTTCACTATCTCCAGGAATTTGCTGTAATACATATCCATTGAGTCTGTGATGCTATCTCACCATCTCATCCTCTGCCGCCCTCTTCTTTTGCCTTCAATATTTCCTAGCATCAGGGTCTTTTCAAATGAGCCGGCCCTTCCCATCAGGTGGTCAAAGTATTGGAGCTTTGGCTTCAGTATCAGTCCTTCCAATGAACATTCAGGGTTGATGGGCCAAATGGTCCCCTGCTTCTCCTATAATCCCTGAAAATGGTGACTTAGTAGAGTGATACTTCAAGCATGAGTTTCCATTGAAACAAAATACAACTTTACAAAGAAATATTCTTATATCATATAAGAAACAGTAACTGATATATCTGTTGATAGTATTTTTTTTTTTAAAGGAACTTGAATTTGGGAAGGGAAAGTAAAAGCAGAAGTAAATTTATCAGTGCAGCCTCATTTTCCAACAGTGTGGGAGAGGAAGAAAATCCAAAATGTGAAACTTCCCTCCTGTTGATATGAGAAATGAAAGTCACTCAGTCTTGTCTCTTTGCGACCCCATGGACTGTAGCCTGCCAGGCTCGTCTGTCCATGGAACTCTCCAGGCAGGACTATGGAATGGGTGGCCATTCCTTTTGCCAGGGGATCTTCCCAACCCAGGGACTGAACCAGGGTCTCTTGCATTGCAGGTGAGTTCTTTACCATCTGAGCCACGAGGGTTGATTTAAGTGGGCAGAGTGATAAGAAGGTGAACTTAGGAATCAGGAAGTTATAAAACTTCAAGTTATAGAAATTAAAAGGCATCAGATGTATGGAGGTACATGCCAAAAAGGTTTAAAGAAAAAAAAAAGTACATTGCAGTAGCCCCAAACTCTTTAAACATATGATTGAAATTTTGGAAAAAGAAAATCCTGAAAATTTGGAAACCAATCGTGTACTACCTGTTATTGGGAATTTAGAATCATCAGAGATAAACTGCTATTGATAGTATATATGCCCTATGTAGGCTCAGTGGTAAAGAATCTGCCTGCAATGCAGGAGACCCAAGAGACATGGGTTCGATCCCTGGGTTGGGAGGAACACCTGGAGGACAGCATGGCCACTCGCTGCAGTATTCTTGCCTGGGCAGAGGTGCCTGGTGGGCCGCAGTCCGTAATGTTGCAAAGACTCGGACACAACTAAGCAATTTTGCACACAAAGCACATTTCATTTGCAATTTTGGTGACTATGAAAATATGAGGATTTTCTTTAGCATGTTTGCCACTTGAGTTCTACTTATCATTTTTTGTCTTAAAGTCTTTAGTTTGTCAACTATTTTTCCTACCATAAATTTTTTTTAACATAAAAATCTGTTATATAGTAGGCATTTGCCTCTAAGAAACTTTCTGATTTTATAGTCATGCCTGATGCAGAAGTGTTAATGTAAGCTTTCTGAGCAGAAGACTTTTAAACTAATAAAAATAAATGAAAAAAAAATAAATTCCATCTGCTAATTCAGACAAACTGAACTTTGAATGATCTGTATTAATGCTTGTCTAAGCTGTTAATTGTCCAGAGCTGAATATGAGGCATTTGTCTAAATATTCTACTGATTCTAGAAGTAACCCGAGTTGCACTCTAATTTTGTATTTTTTTATATTTCAAACACCAGAGAGTAATATTGTGGAATATACTTTAAAATAGTATTACAAAAACAACATAAAACAAAAGTATGTTTTATTTTTGTGCCATGTTTTAAGCTTTTGACATAGGTTTCACTGTTATGATAAAAGTATACATCTTATGTGAAATTCTACTTGGAAATGTTAGTAACATGTAATTTGACAAATCTATTATGAAAAGAAAAATATACAAACTTTCCTCTTTAAGAAGATATTGAAACTTTCAGTTTGAAAGAGAATAATATATGAAAGCAAAGATAACTCCTATGGTAGTTTAATCCATACTTTGTATTAAGCCTAACAATTTATAGTTAGGAGCACCTATTATTTTGCAGGATTATACTTTGACATTAATTTCTGTATGTAATACCAAAGTGCTCTCATTTAGTAACTTTCATTGAATTTCATAAGAATTGTAATCTCACATTTTATTCAGCTTGTTTTTAGAATTATATAAGGCACACTAAATCTAATCGAGAAAAATTGACAAGGAACAGATTAGTGCAAAATAAATTTCGTTGTCATCTTTAAACTATACTTTTTTCACTTTGGCTGGACTAATATTGCTGTTTTTAGACTTCCCGGTATTTGCAAAAACATTTCTTAGAGCACAAAGTAAAATGAAACAGTAAAATGACTAGATTAAAATGTCTCAAGTTTGTGTCTGATCTACCCATGACTCAGATTCTTCTACACTCAACATTCCAGTTTATTGTAGCATTTTCTGTTTTTCTACTTTGATGTGTACTGAGGTAAATGTAGACAGCATGACTCATTAAGGTTTTAAGAAAAAAACTTCCCCAAGCAGTCCTACAAAGGCAGAGGAATCTAAATCTCTCACCTCTGCTTTACTTTTATAGAGAAGGTGAACAGAACTGCTTTCTCTGCTGGTTCTATGACCACCAGCGATGCCTGTTTTCATATGATTTGCCCAAATCACATCAGAGAAGGAAGGCTAACTTCTGTTGGAAACCTATTAAATTCAAAGACCACAGAGCAATTTCATCAATTTCAGTGTCTTAGTTGAATACAACTTTTTATTTATGTGCTTATTTTGTAAGTGATGCTATGATAAAAATAACAGAACAAAGTCAGGCTGCTTAGAAAATTTTCAGTTTAGTTTTGCCAAAATTAATGGAATGCTTTTTCTTTCCTGAACAATGATATATCATAATATGGTTTGCTGATATTTACCCAAATTCATCTTAGATATAATTATTTACATTAATATCTATAGCAACTTTGCAAAGAATAGCCAAGTATCTTTGCCCAAAGGGTAAGTGGAATTTTAAATACTTAACATGTACAAATAATCCTTAGTGTGCTTTCTGAAATGCTTTGGGTGTGCTTTCCTCAATCTTCAAATTCCCTCAGAAATAGAGTGTTCAAAAGTTATTTATTTACTTTACATCATTGCAGTGGTTAAAAAAAGAAAAAAAAAAGTTATTTATGTAAAAAAAATTTTTAATATTTAGTAACTTATTTAGCAGTTACTATTTACTTTACTTTCTTACATTTTAGCATTAAGACAAGAGTGGGTCAAGTTTGGCTTGTGTGGTTGAAAGTTCACTCAAGTAGGGTAATCACAACATGGTCATCCCGGCCTTGCCATAACATCTCTCCTTCAAAGTCGACCAGTCCGTGCTTCCTGGCACGCATGAGAATGCCCACGACTTTATCTGAAATACGGACATATCTGTCGAAGAGATCCCCAAAGGTGACCTGGATCTTGCCGTCCCGTCTGTGGCGAGCCATCGAGCGGATGATGAAACACATGTCCAGGATTTCTCTGTAGATGTGTTCCTCGGCTCTCTTGGCCCGTTCGGCAGTTTTGGTTCCTTCCTTGGGACGGCCGTAGCCTTCGTCTCCTTTATGCAGGCGGGTAGACATGGCCAACTCATAATCAAACTCTTCACTGAAAGGATTGAGCTTCTGGGATTGGATATGTTCATCAGCCCACTGTTGCCATCTCCCTTTCAGGTTGCCCACTTGGCTGTATTTCCGCTGGGCTTTGCAGTTGAGCGTCTCTGTGAATCTGTTTGCCCTAAAAGAGAGAGAGGGTAAAAAAATCAAGATATTCATAATTTAACAAGAGTTGCTTTCTACTTGTACTTCTTATACATATGCATCTTAATGTAAATCTATACAATTTTTCATTATAAAAGACATGTAAACAATTCAAAAAAATAAGAGATGGAAGAAGAAAAGTCATAGACGATGCCTCTATTGTTCTGAGTTTGAGATCGGTCCTAGATTCTTTTCTCTGTGAGTAACAATAATGTTTTAAGCCCCATAAAATGATGATATTAAACTGTATTTCAAGGAAAAACTTCCTTACACAAAGGTAATGCAAATATGTGTAGTTCAGACTTGCAGGTTAGTAACATTTAGAACTGGAATCATATCTGTGTGTTAAGGGAATGCACTTTATACAGGACTTCAAAAAAGTTATTTGCCCAGAATAAGGTTTTCATCAGCCACATACTTTGTACTATTCACTTGTGTAGATTTTTAAATTATTTATTTTAATTGGAGGATAATTACTTTACAATATTGTGACGGTTATTGCCACACATCAACATGAATCAGCCGTAGACATACATGCGCCCCCCCCCCCCCCACATCCCTCCCCACCTCCAACCCTCCAGCTTGTCACAGGGCACCGCCTTTAGATGCCCTGCATCATAAACAGCAAATTCCCATTGGCTATCTACTGTATGTATGGTGATATATATGTTTCAATGCTATTCTTTCAATAATCCCACCCTCTTTCTCCCACTGTTTCCAAAAGTCTATTTTTATGTCTGTGTCTCCTTTGCTGCCACCTTTGCCATGTATAGAGTTTTAAATGTGTATTTTTGATGAAGCATATCTATGCTCATATCTATGATGTACCACACATTTTGAAATATCTAGTTGTATAAATAGGAGTCACTAGCTAGCAATAGTAACATTGAATACTGTGTGCTGACATTCTTCTAAACACTTTCCACTAATATTTCTACAACCATTTTATGAGATAGGTACCATTAATCTCATTTCACAGATAAGGCAAGTGAGGGCAGAAGGGTTAAGTAACTTTCGATCGAGAAGTTGTTAAATGATGGAGCTAGGATTCAACCAAAGTAAAGCCAGCTCCAGAGCCTGTGTATAACTACTGTGAAATGTTGCCTCAGGCCAGTGGAAGAGGTGGGATCCAACCCCAAATATCTGAGGCCAAAGACCACGCTCTCTCCGCTATGTGATGGTGGCGATGGTGCCGCCCAGCCTGACAGAACAGTGTGTAATAAGTGGATGAGTTGTGTCTCAAATGTGTGGGTCTGCCTTTGCAGCCTGGAATGCATTTCTTATTAAAACAAAAACCATCATTGGCGAGTGTAGACCTAATTTAAAAACAGCAAAGTTTGTCTTTAACAGACTTTCCTGTCATCTATCTAGCTCCAATCTTATAAGTAAAGCATGAACTCTTGGACTATATAAAAGTCAGAAATCTGTATTCCTCATCCCCACAAGTGACTCACCCATCCTTCTCCCCAACAGCAAGTGGCTTCATGTCTGTAAGCTTTGGAATTGGAGATGTAGGGTAGAGATGAAATTGCTTATGTGGCTACAGTCCATGGGGTTGCAAAGAGTTGGACATGACCAAGCGAGTAAGCACACACACATACACACACATGTGAATGGCATGCGTGAATTCAATAACCCCTCCCTGAAGTCTCATAATTTGCTGGTCAAAAAACCCAGGAACAAGTCAGATGTGGGTGTTCCTCACCATCCAAATTCATTTCCTAAAATCTGATCATTCAAATACAGGAAACTAACAGATATGGGTAGGGAGGCATACATACTTGTATTATTTTTCAAAGAGGACTGACAGCCACTAGATGGCGAACTTTCATTAATTCCCATCCTTTGTGTCCCTAGCTTGCTGCATTCAGTTTCACTATCATAATAGAATTTAAACTAGGAGTACACTGCTGCATATAACACTACTATTCTTTGTAAACACATGGACAAAAGTATATGACCAAGTTAGCTGGGGAAAATCAGCATTCAAAAACTGTTTATACAACTATTACAGCTTTAAAAAATCACATATGTATGGAAGGGCTTCCCAGGTGGCCCGGTGATAAAGTATCTGCAAGCCAATGCAGGAGCTGCAGGAGACAGGGCTCCATCCCTGGGTGGGGAAGACCTCCTGGAGGAGGAAATGGCAATACACTGTAGCATTCTTGCCTGAGAAATCCCATTGGCAGAGAAGCCTTGCAGGCTATAGTCCAAGGAGTTGCAAACACCTGGACACGACTGAGCGACTAAGCGCACACATATGTATGGACAAGTGCTAGGAACTACACTGCCCTGAGGGAAATGCATGGGCTGCTAGATCTCGTGATCAAACGAGAGTAAATACCTAGTCCCCTTGGAATGATGGCAATCCATGGCAGACACAGCCTTCAAAAACAAGCCCAGTGTCATCCTGGCAGAACCCAAAGCTCATATCAAATTCGAGGCTGGAACAGCTTGCTGGAGAAGAGACTTGAACATCTCAGAAGACAGCAAAAAAAAACAGCATGACTCATTAATTCATTCTTTCTGTCTCCTGAGCACTGACTGCAGTTCTGTCCTATAGTATAGAATATAATACGTCCTCCCTTTAAGGAACTTCTGGGCACTTTGAACATTCCCTCCATCCTTTATTAAAGCATGTATGACACCTACTGTGCACCAGACACATGTTTTTCAAAATTAATTTATATTTCTGTGGCTTTACCGGGTCTTTGTTGTTACTCGAGGGTTTTCTCTAGTTGTAGCAAGTGGGGACTACTCTCTAATTGTGGTGTGTGGGCTTATTGTGGTGGCATCTCTTGTTGTGGAGCACAGGCTCTAGGGTGCACGGGCTTCAGTAGTTGTGGCACACAGGCTCAGTTGCCCCACAGCACATGAAATCTTCCTGGACCAGGGATCAAACCTGTCTCCCTGCATTGGCAGGTGGATTCTTAACCACTGGACAACCAGGGAAGTCCCAGACACTCTTCTAAGTACTAACTGAATATTCAGTAATGAAAAAGAATGGTGAATAATCACTAAAAGACATTCATAAAAATAAACAGAATAAAACAGATTTGAGCACATGCTACAATTTTAACTATGTAAAATGTGTATATGCACCAGGTTGAAGAAATCAAGAGTACGTGCACAACTGAAATTATGTTAGTCTAGAGACAGTTGGCTTTTTTAATTTTTTTTTTTTTCAAAATTCTTTCTGCTGGTATTACAGTTGGCCCTTGAAAAACACAGGTTTGAACTCCATGGGTCCACTTACATGTGGACATTTTTTCATAGTAAATACTATAGTACCAGGCTTCCAGGTGGTGCTGGTGGTTAAGAACCCGCCTGCCAATGCAGGAGACGAGAAACTTCAAGTTCCATTTGAGATTTTCTGGAGGATGGCATGGCAACGCACTCCAGTATTCTTGCCTGGAGGATCCCATGGACAGAGGAGCCTGGCGGGCTACAGTCCATAGGGCTGCAAAGGATCGGACACGAATGAAGCGACTGAGCATGCGCGCACACACACTACAGAACTACAGGATCTGCATCTGCTTGTTCTGGGGAACTATGCATGCGGGTGGGGGGCTCTGATACTTCCGGCACTGGAAAATTTGAGTATAACCCTACAGTTGCTTCCCTAGTGGCTCAGCTGGTAAAGAATCTGCCTGCAATGTGGGAGACCTGCGTTCGATCTCTGGGTTGGGAAGATTCCCCGGAGAAGGGAAAGGCTACCCACTCCAGTATTCTGGCCTGGAGAATTCTGTGTACTATATATATAGTCCATGGGGTCACAAAGAGTCGGACACGCCTGAGTGACTTTCATTTTCTACAGTTACACTGTATCCATGTTTCCACATCCATGGATTCAAGCAGCACAGGTTGAGCAATACTCTAATACGCATTTATTGAAAAAAAAAATCCACTTTTAAGTGGACTCACACAGCTCAAACCCATGTTGTAAGAGTCAACTGTATTGATTTTATAACTTAGAGGAAGAACAGAATTGAAAAATATTCAAATTAGTATCCAGAGATAGTTTGCTTAAACTGTATATTATATGGGTCTCATTCTTTGATGATATATATTTTTTTCTTTTAACTAGGAACTTTAATTCCCTGAGTGTTGAAATTCTATGTCGTTTGGGATAAGGGTAGGGTTTGGTGAGGTAATAATGCTATGAAGAAGAGAAACATCTAAAAGAGCATCTTCTAAATTTTAATGTCCATTTGTTATATAGTCAAACTATAATTTCCAATAATAGGAGAGAAGAAAAGTGAAAGAATTGGTCCTTTAAGCAAGAATTAGAAAATTGGGTTGCTTAAAATGTACTAGAAGGAAATATACCTTAATGAATATTTAATTTTATCTATCTTGTACATGTTCTGTATTACTTTCATATTTTCAATTTTTAAAAAGTCTGAAAGGATCAGGTTTAAATCAGGATTAGTAAGTCTCAGACCCTGAGCATCTCCTTGATCATTGAATGTAGGAATCAATATACCAGCTTGTCCTATTTTTTAAATTTTCAAGTAAAATGTGAATGATAGTTCAGATTGAGTTTTACAAAGATGACCTAGTATAAATTCACAGAAAGCAAAGAGCTATTCAAAGACCGTGCTTATATCTTAGGCTAAAATGCTTCTCTGTCAGTAAAGCCAAGAACTTCTGCCACATTTCCGATGTCTCAGGGAATTTCTGGGGAGAATCTGCTCCTGTGTGCACTGATGGGCTTACTCTTCTTATAGGAAGTATAGAGCGAGTTTGGTTAATGGGAGTGTGACATCCACAGGGTCACATTTATCAGAAGCAGGATGACTGTGCATTCACAACTGTGCTCTTCATTCCTTGCAGACTGGTAACCGTCCTGAGTCCATGGAAGGATTCCAATCTCTAGAACTGGGGCAAATCCTAGAAGGCCATACTTTCCCCTTCATTTCTAGCAAATATCTTTAATATAGTTGCACCAAAACATTACACTTTGGGAGTTTTCCTGGGATTCCGTAACAGAGGTGAGGCTTGGATCTCCATTTGATTTGTTGAGTCTGTTCTCTGCTGAGAGATGAGTCTAACACAGTGGTTAAGAACACAAGCTCTAGGAGTAAAGTCATCCTTCCCTGGTGGCTCAGATGGTAGAGAATCTGCATGCAAGGCAGGAGACCTGGGCTCGATTCCTGGGGTGGGAAGAACGCAAGCTCTGGCATCACTTCCCGAGAGCATCACTTACAGGTTCTCTGACATGGATACATATCTGTGTTCAGTTCCCTTTTCTATAAAACACCCCCTCATGCTCAACCATTTCATTTTGACCGAATAGACCTTGGAGGAGAGGGTGGATGCATGACTTTCATTTTAATATTGTGCCATTACTGTATGGGGAACAGATAAAAGTTGCTTTGTCTAAAGGACCTGGACCAAACAAGTCACATAGCTATGTAATCAAAAGACTAACTATTTTAAAAATAAAGCATAAAATGGGAATCATTTTCATAGTAAAGCCCCAGTTAGTAAAATTCTTTTGGTAAGAAATATTTCTATTTTTTATCAAACCTGAATTGTTTGTCTCTGTTATCCATTAGACCACCCAGAAAACTCTTTCTCCTTAAATATCCATGACACATCATTTTCTCCCTTTTAGTGGATATGGGGAAAGAATGGTGCTTAGAATTAAAAATCAGTGAACAAACCCCCTCCATATAGGCTTAGTCAGTGATGCCATGATCATGTCTCCAGCAGTATGTGAGCATCCCATCAGGCTTCTGCTGTGGCTTCCCACTCGCATTACTGCTGACCTTCAGAGCTGCTGTTGCTTCAGACAACATTCTGGTACCCTGCGCGCTCTAAGCCTGAGGGAGAGGAACCCAAAAGAAGCAAGGGAGGGGTTTCACTCCCATGGGTAAGTATGTAGGTTTAGTCACTCAGTCATGTCCAACTCCTGTAACCCATGGCCTGTAGCCCACCAAGCTCTTCTTGTCCATGGGATTTCCCAGGCAAGAATGCTGGAGTGGATTGCCATGCCCTCCTCCAGGGGATCTTCCTGATCCAGGGATGGATCCCAGGTCTCCTGCATTGCAGGCAGAATCTTTACTGACTGGGTGACAAGGGAAGCCCTATTCCCTTCCCCAAACCCTACAGCCAGTCTCCTAGTATCTTGTTGTGTTGAGATGACCAGGGCTGGCCCCTTGCATTATACAGAGCACAACTCTTGGCCCATCTACATGATTGATGCCAAAATAACTCTATGGACTATCACAGCTATTTTTTTAGATGAGAATGAAGAAACTTTAAGATTTGCCCAAGTAACCAGTATTCCAAATCTAATTGTCTCTGATTCAAAGCCTGTGGCCCTCTCTAGCACAGAGAAGGTATGTTTTGGGGAACCATGAAAAGGGTCCAGTATGCACATTCCCACTTTCAGGTGAGACAGTTTATAGAGTAGTGGTCAAGAAGGTGGGATCTGGATCCAGAGTGCCTGAGTTTGAATCCCATGGGCAGTACAGTCTTATACAAATTCCTTAATATTTCTTTGTCTCATGTTCCCATCTATCCAATAAAGATAATTATTATGCCTATCCGGTGAGAATGTTGTGAGGATTAAATAAATAAACATATGAAAAATTCTTAGGTGCCAAAGGAGAGAACATGTGTTGGAGACTGGTCCCAGCTGTCATCTCCCTACCCTCGGCCAATTCAAAAGATGCTGACAGGAACATCTTAATTGTGCTACCCTCGGTTTTCATTCTGTTGGGTTCTATTATTTCATTTTCTAGCATGCATACCTCCTAAATCCATGAGGCTAAAATTTGGACTATGGTTCCATATGATCTGGTAGTATAGTGACTTCTGATTATGAATTTCTATGTGACTGTAAGCAGAACACAAATCCAGATCTCTGAGTGTATCCTCAAGGTGTGAGTGAGAAGTAGCATCATGTCTGGTTTCAAAGCGTGGCATTTGGAGATGGGCACGCATGTCTCAGATCACTAACTTGCTGAGTGAACTTTCCCTCTGAGCTTCAGTGCTCTCATCCCTAAAATGAGATATTACCAACCTTATTGTGAGAGTTCAAAGGACAAAGCAGGTAAAATACTATGTGTGTGTGTGTTAGTTGCTCAGTCGTGTCTGACTCTGGGACCCTATGGACTGCAGCCCACCAGGCTCCCCTGTCCATGGGATTCTCCAGGCAAGAATACTGGAGTGGGTTGCCATGCTCTCCTCCAGGGGATCTTCCTGGCCCAAGGATCAAACCCAAGTCTCCTGCATTGGCAGGCAGATTCGTTACTACTGTGCCACCTCAGAAGCTCTCTGGGAAGCCCATAATAGTGCTAATTCTTTCAAAACATCTTTAAGGTCACAAACTGTAAGGCAACTTTTTGTCAAATAAGGTTCCCAGTTTTGTTCTTTACTAATTGTTCCATAAAAGTTGAAAAGCATACCTTCACATATAACTGTTCCCAGAGGGAGTCAGCTTGTAAGCATTTCATCACATCTGAGACGTTCCCCATATTCTGATATCCTGTGGTTGTAGAGTGAGAAATCCTGACTTTCTGTTCTGTGGAGGGAGAGTTACTGTCTTGAAATAAAGCATGTGTTTCTTGTCAGAATAAATGTATCAGTTTGAGTCCATGTGTGTGCGTGTATTGGTGTGTGTGTATACATTTAACTGCTTTAGGATTGTGCTTCCCAGGTGGCACTGGTGGTAAAAATAAAAAACCCGCCTGCCAATGCAGGAGACATAAGAGACTTAGATTCAATCCCTGAGTCAAGAAGATCCCCTGGAGGAGGGCGAGGCAACCCACTCCAGTATTCTTGCCTGGAGAATCCCAAGGACAGAGGAGCCTGGGGTCCAGAACCCCCGAAACACATGGGGTCACAAAGAGTCAGACACGACTGAAGCAACACGCATACACAGCACATAAGCATTGTAATATTTTAATTGCCTGGCTTTAATAGCAATTCTGCCTTTGTTTATAAATGGAAAAAGCTTTCTGAAAGTTTGAAGAATTGCTAAATAATAAGCTCTCTATGAGGAGTAATAACTTCCATATAGTGAGCTTATGTGCAGGCACTGTGCTAAATTCTTGGCAGCTTTAATCTCATCTACTTCTCTCAAAACAGAACTTATTGTTGCCATCATTTTACAAAGGAGGAAATGGGTTTAGAAGAATAACTGGCTATTTTGTGTGTGTGTGTGTGTGTGTGAGATGAGAAAACTTAAGAGCTATTAGCAACTTTCAAGTGTACCACAGCATCCTTAATTATAGCCAGAGCAGAGCTGGGATTTGAACTTGGGTCTGTCTCACTTCAGAGGTGGTTCTGCAGTCAGACAGCAGCTTCCCACCTGTGTCCAGGCTCACAGAAATCTGTGTTCCATGGGCACTATTTGGGTAGATGTGTCTCTTGATATTACATACACTGATTTGAGACGAGGGAAAGGTCTCTCCCCTTGTCTACCAGGAAATAGTTTTTTTTCTGCAGAAAAAATAAGCCAATCCTTACTCATTATAGCACTGACTTCAAACATTAACCCGTAGCAGACACGCACCTCCAGTGGCTTCATCTTTGCTGTGGCTAAACCTTGAGGGTTCAGAACAGAGGGGAGAAACCAAGGGGGGCGAGCCCTTGCCCGGAGGTCCATGAACCGGGCACTGTCCTCTCAGCCCAGGGGCGAGCCTTCGCCGAGCCCCGGCTGCCAGCCCTGTCGGTGAGTCTCGCCCGGACTCGAGCAGGGCTGCCCTGCTCTCTGGGACCCCTCAGCTGCTGGGGCGCGCGCGGCCCCGGGGTGAGAGACGCGCTCACTTACTGGGAGGGCAAGGGGCGTTTGATCCTGGCCACGGCCTCCTGCTCTCCAGCCGGCTCCGGCCTCTCGTCCGCCTCGCCTCCATAGCCACTGTCCTCCGTGTCCACGCTGTCGCTCCGGCACTGGGGCCCCTCCCGCTCCATCGCCTTCCAGCCTCTGGTCAGCTCGGTCACCAGCCGGGCACACTTCCTCCGCCGCGTGGGGGAGCCGCGGCTGCGGAGCAGCCTGTCCACGTAGCCCTCCGGCGGGCCGCCCTCCGGCGGGCCGCCCTCCTGCTCGTACCGGTGGCTGAGGTGGCCCAGGTCCCCTCCTCTCTCGTAAGCCTTGCTGACGACCGTCTTGGTCACCTCTTTCCTTTTGATAGGAGAAACCGCGGTGGCTTCCTCTGAGCCGTGAGCATCTTCTCCAGGTCCCTCTGGCTTCGGGGAGGAAGGCTTTGGGACCCTCTGAGCTTTCCAGCGGGTGGGGGCGCCTGTCGCTGGTCCAGACGTGTCCGGTGGGTCCTGGGTGCTCCCTGGCATCCAGCCTGCCGGCTCCTGGGCCTGCCTGGTACTGTTTTCATTGGCCCACTGCTGCCAGCCTCGGGCTAACGTGATAACCAGGGTGGCTGTGCGCACCTTCCGGGGGGCACCCTTGGCCAGCCCGTCGCCCCTTTCCTTTTCTCCCGGAGCCATGCCACCCTTCTCTGCTGAGAACCTGGGTACTGGCTAAAATGAGTGTGGACCGGTGGAGGGCCCGGGATTTAAATAGAAGCGGGGTGTGGGGTGGGAAGAGAGTTTGGTGACTGTGGAAACTATGTTAAGCTCTTCTTGCCAAGATGCGGTGCCTTCCCCCTGACGGTGCGCTGTTTTTAAACCCTGGCGGCTCCAGTTTCATCGCAGCAGAGGGACGTCTGTCTTGGTAAAGGACAGTGATAGGATCCTGCTCTTTCTTCTCCAAGTGCCAGAGTGGAAACTACTAGATCCGATCATGTGCTCAGCCTTAAGTTTTTCTTGACCTTAAAATATGGTCCTACCATTTATAGGAGCATAAAATACGTGTACAAGTTGTGCTGGGAACATAATAGGCTTATTTCCATTGAAACCTCAGCAGTCCTGATACAGCTTTAATTAGTCCCATTTTATGGCTGAATACAGTGACGCATAACTTCCTATCGCAATAATATCTAAGACTGGAACCCAGATGTCTGATGTAAAGCATGTGCCTCTTTTCATCCTTACTCCTCAAAGGCATCCTACTGCCTCTTTCTTTTGCCTTCAACTCTATTGGATGTAGACCTTAGAGGTCATCTCATCCAAGCTCCATTTACCAGATGAGAAAATCGAGGCCCAGATAAGAGGGCAGAAAAGGGCCTAGTATTCCAATTGCAAGTTTGAATTACTTTATAGACAAGTCGTATTAATACACAAGACAACAGTCAAAATTTTGGCCCAATTACTTTTTTAAAAAAATCTTTAAATTGAGACCTACACACAATGAACTTCAGAGACTGCTATTACAACAAATCTTTTCAAATATTTTGTTAAATAAGACTATTTAAAGACAAAGTAAGTGAATGTTATCAGAAGCAAGCCCCACTTCGCTATTTTAATAACACAAACTTCCTTGGCATAACTTTAGGTTCATGCAGAAAAAGCCATGCTTTCATTTCTGAGAGCAAAGACTGGAATATAGTTGTTTTTTGTTTGTTTTTTTAATAGGACTGGATAGGTGGGTCATTTGTACAGAGAAAGAACTATCTAGGACGTGTCCTAAACCAGATAAAAATGTGCAGGGGTCAGCATTGAGTATTTCTTAAAGTAAGACAAGAAGAATTTTTTTTCATACCACAGTTCTATAGATTTTTATACTTTCCTCCAATCTTGACATGCAGTTAAACACACTAACTGAAGATTGCTGTCCAAGAGCATTAAAAAAGGTAAGAACTGTAATTACTTCTGAAACTGACACAAATTTATTTTTTAAAATGTTGTCAGTTTTTCATCCTGTAGGCCATCTACCTCCTAAGATTAAGACAATTGGGAAGATGACTTAATACTCTATCTAGAAATCTGTCAGATGTTTTCAGAGTTCAACAGCATCTGATAATGTTAACTGTGGTCCAACAATGCAGAGACAAAATCCCAGTTGATTAATTAAGAGGAAATTGGATCACATGAAGAGAAAACTATGACAAAGATTTCGATCTGAGTCTGAAACTTCTGGCATTCTTTCTTGGAATGTAGACACACTGCAGGCTGTTTGGTTCCTATTAGATTCTCTTCACCCACTTGGAATGCCTTGGGAAAGGAATGGGGTTCCTCAGAGACATCCATGCACTCAACCCAGGATCAGGCCGATTTATAACTCTCAAAGGAACTTTTCTGCTTCCCTGTCCACACCTGTTCCATATTCACTTCTTACAGGGGGAGAATGAAAACAGCAAAATGTTAATAGTCTTTCACATATTAATGGGCATTGCAGCTGGCTGCCTGGGGCTTACAGCTGTCAGCAGATAGTCTTGGCAAAAACCAGGGAACTCCTAAAAGAATCTGGTCATTCCTTCTGAGATTTTACTTCCACGGCAACTGTGGTCCTTCATTCCTGTGGTTCTTCATTTATGCTTCTTCAGAAGAGAGTGTAAAATCTCTTTTCTCCTCATGTCTGCTTTGGGCATTCCTTCCTTACAGAAAGGTCTGTATGCTACCTACTACGTCTCTTATAAGAAATGTTTTATCTTCCTTCTCAACCTAGATCTAGATTCTTGAGTTCAATATTCTTCTGCTTTAAAAGAAGGTATAAAAGAAATGACTATAAAAAAAGACAAAGATACAGTGTACTAAGTAGTTTACATTGTGAGTTTCCTATGAGACATGAGATTAGAAACTAGGTGAAGATGTCGACCTGATTAATTAAGTATTTAACACCTAAGAAATTTGTGGTGTGAATGTGTTTTATAAAAAATATTAATTATTATTTGATCATATGGGCGATACTAGGGAAAGGAGGGAGTTAATATTTATACATTTCTCTTCATGATATGCTTAGAAATCAGGTAAAGTCAGCTATCATCACTAGCGATATAATCTTACTAAAGAAACTTTAGAAACCCACATTTGCTCAAAGCTCATATGAAATAATAACTTCATTGATCCTTTCTATGTAAACAAATAAGTCCTTTTCTTGTTTAGTTACAGAAAAGTGGGAATGAAAAGACTTTAATGGACATCAAAAAAGGGCTCTTGATTTCAACTGAATTTACTTAACTCAGTGCTCACGTAAAGAATATAAGGGTAAGGCCTGATGGCGGATGGTGTGAGGAAGGGTGTGAAACTGATCAAAGCAGAACTTACTTTCAAGGTCTTCCCGTCTAGCCAGGAGAGAGTTGTGCATACAACTGCCTTTAACAGTTTGGGGAGAGCTGCATTAGAAATGGGGCTTCTCAGGTGGGCTCAGTGGTAAAGAATCCACCTGCCAGTGCAGGAGATGCAGGTTCAGTCCCTGAGTCAGAAGATCCCCTACATAAGGAATTGGCAACCCACTCCAGCATTCTTGCCTGAAGAACCCCATGGCCAGGGGAGCCTGGTGGGCTATAGTTCATGTGGTCGCAAAGAGTGAGACAAGACTGAGCAACTAAACGTTAGAAATAGAAAGCTTTATTGAGCACAGGTGAATGATTTTATTGGGAAGACTTCACAGAAACGGTGGTCCTTTATCTGAGCCCCTCAAAATAAAACCTTACCAGGGGGAGAAAGGGCACTCCAGCCTGAAGCAGTGCTGTGAACAAAGTTATGAAGTTATGGTGTGCCTTGAGACCTTCTCATGCCTAGCCTTGAGCCATAACCTCAAACGCCTGGAGGATCATACAGGTCGTTTAACACATGAGCTAAGTCGGGTTGGAGCACAACTGTGGGTGTGAGGACATGGGAAACTGGTGAAGTAATGTCTCAAGAGAAGACATCTGGGTTTTTACATGCACTCTTCCAATTCTTCACATGGTGAAGAATTCTTTACATGGTGATGATTAATACACACAACTTACACACAATATAGTACAAAGTGAACCTACACAGTTCTTGGACCAGATTCTGTGTGCCCCCAGTTTTTGAACTTTAGAGAACATACCGTGTTTATGAGGTAAGGACAAGAGGCCAGGGCGCATTTGAGAAATAAGTTGGAGCTATATTTTGAAGGACACCTTGCTAAGGAATCAGTATTTTATCAAATGAGACTCATTGCATCACTAAAAAAATTTAAACTTCAATGTGATATCAAATTCACATTACCAAATGGTCAATCAAAAACCGGTGAAGTGGGGTATAGATTTGAAAAAGACTAGACTAGGACAGGGAGATTGTTTACAGGGGTCATGAAAATAATCTTGGAAGGAACCGTAAAGAATGGTTCTGAGAGAAGGATCTGAAAGAAGGGAAGAAGGTCTGGGAGCCATTGAGGGTCACAGCAGACTCACTAGTTGCCATGGGTGATAGGTGTTGGGGAATGATCTAGAAGCTTAAGTTTGAGTGACAGGTATGAGGAGGTGGCATTAGCTGGGAAAGGACTGGAGATGGGGAGGACTTGTGGTGAGGAGTTTCCCTCTGGAGTTGCAGAAGCGCTGGGGCATCTACGTGGAGACATGGAGCAGTGAGGGGAGCCGAGAACATGAACCCTGTGGTTGGGTAAGGAGCAGGTGAAAATCCAGACTGCAGGTTAGCATGTTATCTAATTTTTCCAAGATTCAGTTTTTTCATGAGTATCAGAGGATCTACCTCGCAGAGTCGCCGTGAGAATTAAGAGTAACACACGTGAACACTGAACACCATGCCTGGCACATGCAAGCTTGATAAGCAGCTATTGTTATAATTTGAGGTCGAGCCATGGAGTTAGAGAATTACAGCTCCTTAGATAATTCTGTGTGACCTAGGACAGGAGTGATACTGAACCCCTGGTCAGGGTGCATCTTCAGGTGGGAGGGTCAAGTGGGGTGACTGGTAGGGACTGGAGGCTGCAAAGGGAGTGCTTATTTATAGTGTTTTATTTTAAGGTAATTTATAGTGAGGCCTTTAAGGCAGTGTCTGAAAGGTTTCCCTCAGCCTGGTCAGATAAGGTCTCCGTTACTTGGTAGTAGTTACCAAAGACTTGCGCACAGGTGTCTTCCTGGGAACTTCCTGGAAATGTGGAGCTCAGTGGTTTCCAATCACTGAGTATCACATTAGGGTCTTAAGCATATTAGGATGACCTGTGAAGCTTTGAAAACTAGAGCGAAGTCAAAATGGCTACACCCAGGAGCACAAAGGGCAGAGGGAACCCTCGTGGAGGCTTTGAAGACCAGAGGAAGCAGCGACTGCTGAGAGGAGAGCTAGAAATGTACTGGCATTCTGGGAAAAGGGTTGCAATAAATGGAAACCCATGAAGCAGATGATACTGTTAAGGAGAACTTAACGGCTATCATAACCAGAAAAATTAACCAGCTTCCAGAAGCAGAAAGGAATCTGCTTCAAATGGAACAGCATATATTGGGCTTAATACTGCTCTCTGTGGCCCAATAGCAGCTGGTCTTTTTCAGTGTATCTTACATGTGGCACAGGCTCCTGTAGCTGCTGCCTCACCACTGGCAGCTATCCCACTTTTGATGGCCTGTGTGTCTTACAGAGCTCTGTTAGTTTACCTTTGAATACAGGTGATTTGCATTGTG